ACATAAATAATGATTTCCCATTTTAGTGATCTAGCCTATATACTTCGCACTTTCATGTTAATCATCAAGATAAATGTTTATTGGACTTATCCCCAACTATATGGTATGGTATGGTAATGGCAATTTTCGTATAAGGTATCAACATGGTTTTTACAAGCAAGGGAGAAAGAGTGGAACAATTTGACCTTATAACAACAACATTTATTTGTGAAACCATGTTATTATACTCGTATGATTGTAATCAAATAATTTATTATAAAAAATTATACCGCACCAAATTACAATTTCAGTTTAGTTTTAGTTTTCTTCGCTGATCAAGTCAGTATTTAAAAGATTAATGTCAAAATAATTAACCCCATTTAATGTTTGTTTGAAAAAAAAAAACACAGCAGCAACACGTAATGAAGTATATACACTTATCATTATGTATATTCTTCAATGAGATTACCTTTCCGATCTCAAAGTCAAAGTGAAATCGACTGACGTGAAATGAGTTATGAGAAAGGACATGAAAGAAGATATTGTTTAAGATAAAAGCGATATCTTGTCTGTTGTAAAGAGCCAGTCAAGGCACCGATGGCTTTTAATATCAGCATATTACATCGACAAGAGGTATCACTTTGTGCTTAGCAATATCAGATTCGTTTTACTCAGTTTGTGTTTTGAGATTTCGTGATACACAATTACATGATAATTTGATTTGTTTGCAAAAGATAAATAATTTATTTAGTGATTAATCTTTAAGCTTGTTTTTTCGTCTTTAGTTTATGAACTATTTAAACAATTTAACTTTCAAAATCAGTTATTTAAGAATTTATGAACGTAAGATAGGAAAATGATGAACATGTGTTAACATATTTAATAAATATAAAGTTTTGTGTCGAATTGTTGATGGTGATTTAACTATCCAACTTCCAAAACCAATGTATTATGGATGTGTAAATATTTTACTCACATTGCTTGTATTAACTTTGATAACTTAAGCTTAATTTTTATTGAAATTAATTTTAACAGTCCCGAATCTGTCTGTGCATGCACAGAATTATAATTTTTCAAACCACTAGTCCATTCATTTCAGGAATATCCATTTAGAGAATTGTAAAAAAACTGGATTTGAAACTGTTCACAAACAGTTTGTTTGTAAATATCAATTTGTTAGATTACGTTTAAACAATAATAATTTGAAATCCATAATGAGGATTAAAAAAATTCTAATAGGTGTTTCTTTTCATTTTATTTGTCCATACACCAAAGGGGTATTTTATATACTGTGCTGCATTGTATACGGTATTATGTAAAACAATCTGTTCACTGTAAAAGACACCAAGTGGAACACAATGTAGAATGTTGTAATTACTCGTTTGCCTATGCATAAGTAAATACACTTTTAGTTCATTCAATATACAGGGTGTTTTTTTAAAAACTTTCATCTTTATTTATGTAAAAACCGCAATAGATAGAAATATGCAGTTTGCGGGAATCATCTATTGACGTAGGGGGCCCAATTGTTTTGAATTCAACGTTACATTCACATTCCCCCCCTTTCCCCCCCTGCCCCCAACTTATTTTTTTTAAATAGCAAGGTACCGCTCGTGACATATCAAATGAAAGAGCATAAAAAAGAAAATGTTTGATGAAAAAAAATTAAAAATCGGTTCATAAATTTGCGAGATATTTCCCCCCCCCCTTCCCCGGAACTTGATTTTTTTTTATAGCAAAGTACCCCTTGTGACATATCAAATGAAAGAGCATGAAAAAAGAAAATTTTTGGTGAAATTTATTTGTCATTTGATATGTCACAAGGGCGGGTACCTTGCTATTAAAAAACAAGTTATGGGTAGGGGAAAAAGGGGGGGATTATCTCACAAATTCATGAGCCGATTTTAAATTTTTTTCCACCAAAAATTTTCTTTTTTCATGCTCTTTCATTTGATATGTACAAGGGGTACTTTGCTATTAAAAAAAATCAAGTTCCGGGGAAGGGGGGGGGAAATATCTCGCAAATTTATGAACCGATTTTTATTTTTTTTTTCATCAAACATTTTCTTTTTTCATGCTCTTTCATTTGATATGTCACAAGGGGTACCTTGCTATTTAAAAAAAATAAGTTGGGGGCAGGGGGGAAGGGGGGGAATGTGAATGTAATGTTGAATTCAAAACAATTTGGCCCCCTACTTCAATAGATGATTCCCGCAAACTGCATATTCCTATCTATTGCGGTTTTCACATAAATAAAGATGCAAGTTTTTAAAAAAACACCCTGTATGAACTGTTACAGAGACAGTTTAAGTTTGACTAGTTGAAGCATTCATGATATTCCTACATCCTCCCTGTAGGATTGCTAACAGATATCAAAGTTCCTGTTTAATCACTTTAGGACGGAACAGGACAGATTTATCTAAACCAAGTTACCTGTGAAGCACTCAGATTCAATCGTACTACAAGCTGGTCTTAAAAATAGTTATTATTATGCAACAATAAATTGTGGTTGTTTCAATACATCCATTGCGGGGCTGTGTTCATTGTTGAAAATCAGCTGACATAAATTACATCAGCTGTCTATTTCTATTTTCGTAAACTTAATTTTACAAAGTATGTAGTTTCAATAAAATATTATTATAGTTCGGCCGCTTAGAAAGCGACCTCCTCCAGCATTGGTTTAGCATTAGCGCGCGAGTCGTTTTCTAAGCGGCCGAACTATAATAATGTAGTTTTTTCTTATTTACTACTATTAATCATCCCGTTAAATTTTATATGTTACTGTAAAAATCCCTTCATTGGTACTTCAACCAATTGCAATATTAAACATACCCCCGCCGCAGCAAACCTGCAGACTAAGCGAATTTCCATTTGACTGATTGGATTTACACTGAAATGTCTACTTAAAAATATAACATTTATTCCAGATTTAAATAGAACTAGTTTAACACGTACTTAGGTTTGCTGCATCAGGGAGGGTAAAACTGTTTTTTGTCAAATGTGAATAGTTAGTAAGAAATAAAAACATTTTCCAAATTTGATCAAAATATGTTCACAAACAAGCAAAAACTACAACAGTTTACTTATTCTCCATAAGAATAACATGGGAATTTTAAATTTACAATTTTTTGGAATTTTCTCTGTAACCATTAGGCGCATAATAACGCTTCAATATACTAAATTATTTGTTTTTTTAAGCTCTACAAAATGGTTTGGAAAGAAATTGCTAAATTTGATGTTTTTTGGGTCAAAAATGGGAAAAACCTTTTTTTACCCCATAAAACCCCCCGTAAACCCCCGTTCCCATGGTCCGATCATGCTGGATCGCGAACTCGTTCGAATAAACGTACGTTTACACGTTTGTACCAAATTTCGTCAAAATCGGATCATTTTTGCTCGAGTTATCGTGCTGACGGACACATATATATATATATATATATATATATATATATATATATATATATATATATATATATATATAATATATATATATATATATATAAATATATATATATGAATTTGAACGGATGGTGTTTTTAGCCTCTAGGGACCTCAAAACGAAAAAAAAATTGGTCCCGCGTCCAGGTCTTACCATGAGTACTACGGTAATAGCTTATTCCCTATATGGGAAATTCGCTAATACTACAGTAATTTGGACAGTAGTGCTTGATCCTGTAAAACACGTATTTTCTCATTGAAAACGCTTCTAGAAGATACGGTGCTGCAAGGGTTTTAATAAAAGAGACTGAAAACCAATTAGTTGGCAGTAAACTGTAATTCACACAGCCAATGTAGTTTTAAAGATAATTATAAAACAGGGTATTTTAACTCACCCACGACAGTAATTTTAATTGCTTAAATTCTTTTGATGTGTTTACCAACCGATGGATTTATTTTAAATTGCCTTATGATTTTCATATCAAATCACAGATTCTCATAATCTTACTAATATTATGAATGTGAAAGTTTGTGTGTTTGTTTGGATTGAGCTGAAAATTGTTATGGTGATAGCACGTTCTTGATTAACATATAGACATACTCTTATCTCAAAGATCCTTTCGAGCTCTGCCCCATTGGCTCTAAAGATTTCCATGTTAACCTTACCAGGGCCTATAGATTTTTGGTTAAATGATTTTTTTTAAGTTGGAGAAAATGCAAGAAATAACAGTGATTGTCAAAATTCACACAACACATACCAGCTAAAGTAATTCTTTAAAATTAGGTTAAGCTGACTGGTGTAAGTGACAAATATGCATGTTGTATTGAGTAATATGTGGTCCACAACGAGTTGGGTGAAAAAGTGGTTAAGAGGTTTTCGAAATAAACCAGAAGAACATTTTCATTTATCAATTTAACCTTATTTTGTTTCGTCCATTTAATGAATTGCTGGTATGTAATTGCACATGGTACCTTTGTTTTGATTTTGGTGGCAAAAGATTAGCACAAACAGTTTGTGCTCTCATTTCTATCTCGTCAACATCACTTTCACTAACTGATATTTTAAAATCAACCTTCATTTAACTTCCACCAACTTAGGTTAAGAATACGCGAGTATCAACAGGAACAAGTCGGATCAACAATTAAAATTGTCAACTGATCAGCTGAACAGCTGATTAATTGACGTTCGAAGCATTACAATTGTACTTCTTTTCTCTCAATCCTTGAACCTCATTGGTCCGTTACCCGTGTTGATATGAAATGAAACTATGCTGATATGAAAGTAAACAGCTATTAAGTGAAACTTTTCAATTCTAAGAACTGAACTGAAATGACTACTTTAAAAAACGGTCGTAGGTAAAGATATTTTTCCTATACAGGGTGTGTCAAAAACTGAGGAGACAACCATCAACTTGAGACACCTTACGTGGGACACCCTGTATACGTTGATATATTTAACCCATGCCAATATTCGAAGTTCCGATAAATTGTTTTACCACATACCAGTTTAACCACATAATAGTTTTAAACACCCACAACGAGCTCTTTTGTGACTTTTTTTAATTGTTGTTATTTTGTTACAGGTAGGAACCCCGTTTTTATCTAAGAAAGGTAAGATTGCGTTTTGTGCTACAAATAATAGTTGTACTGGTAGCATGTGATAAAGGCGAAATCCCGTAGGCAGGTAGTTAAAAACGAAAGAGTTTGTAATCAAAAATAGCACACATTGGCTTTAACTGTCATGGATTGATTCACAAATATTTCTTTTATTCAGGCATCGACAGTCTTGTTTGGTGATTTCGGTGGCTCAGTGATCAAAGGCGTGACTTACTTTAACGTCGTGTGTTCGCTCCCCGGCGCTGGCAATAAATATTGTGTCATCATTACAGTCTTCTTGTCATTTGTCTTTGTTAGATGTGTTCAACGTACAGACTTGAAACCCATTTGAAAAGGCAAATTCAAGGGTTAAAGGGGACCATCAGGGTACTTTGGTACTATACGGAGGCCACCCTTGTACATCGCGCTGCGGCGGTTATGTTAGGTTGGGTTATTATAAATAGAAAAATACGATTCATCCAGTATCATTCGATTCATAACGGAAAGTCCTACAAACATATTTATGATAACCCAACATAGCATAACCAATACAGCGCGCTGTACAAGGTTGGCCTACGTATAATACTTAAGTACCTCCATCAGTTACACAATTAAGCTATTGATGGTCTACTCAAACTGAGTAGGCTTTTTATAGCTCTAAAGATTTTCACGACAAATATTTTTTTCTTTAAAGTAAAGGTTCTCAGGGTTGATGTCACACTTTTACTGTAGATCCAACAATAAGACTGAAAGATTAAAACTATGTTTACATTAGCAACACCATTGACTTTATCAATGAAATACATTCCTACGGTTTATTCGTGTCGTTTATTATCAAACAATGCCTCTAGGATGTTAATATACATGCCGAGCATCCTTGGTCGTAGACGACCACTTGACTTTAGCCACCACGGTGCCTGTTTTGGGCTGCATCTGGTTTACGTCGAAATGTGCAGCACTGTTTATACATCAAGGGCAGACGGGGGTTTCAAGTACTTCATATCTCCTGTAATGGTTTAAGCCACTTCGAGATAGTTTTCCATACTTGGACCTGTCGAGACAGTGTCCTGATCGTCTGTGCTGAGTTGGTTCTCACTTGAAAGAATGTGTTTAACAATGTGTTTATTTTATGGACATACCAAGACATTTTCATGTCATAGTGCGTGGAACAAGTGTAAAAATCTTTCACTTCCGGAGACCAGCACCATACTTTGGGAATCGACTAAATACATCTAAAAGAGTGAAAATCAGCCGGGAGGCAAGCTTTAAAATAATTACGTCACGGACAGTGACATCATCAAAATGGCCGCTCAGCCGATTATAAGAATGCCGCATATCTCGGCAACCGCGTAACCGATTTTGACGTATGACATCTTATTTGAAAGGTCTAATCATTGTCTATAAAAAAGGTAATTACACTTATAGCGATTAAACCAACGGTTTCTTTGTATTTTGTAAGAAATTAATTTTTTACCCCCCACAAAATGGGTTTTTTGGATTTTTCATTTGGAAAAATTAAAATAATCAAAATTTACTTTCCACCCATGAATTCAGCTTAAAAAAATGAACAATTTAGTATTTTTAATCATCATTCTATGTGTATTTGTTACCGAGATATTGAAAGTGGTAAACTCAGAACACTGTTTCCCATGTTATTCTTATGGAAAAAATAAAATTCTATATTTCGGTTATTTTTTAACATATCTTAATAAAACTCGGTATGTGGCTTCACCTAGTTGATCTACTTGATAATGACTATTAAATAATTATATTTTACATTGACATGGCAGCAGACATGCGTACTCATTTTCCGAGTTTTTAGTATTTTGTAAAATTTTTTCTTAAATATTTGAAATGTTGATGTATCTAAATTAAGGGTAATAAAAATTAATTTCTTACAAAATACAAAGAAACCGTTGGTTTAATCGCTATAAGTGTAATTACCTTTTTTATAGACAATGATTAGACCTTTCAAATAAGATGTCATACGTCAAAATCGGTTACGCGGTTGCCGAGATATGCGGCATTCTTATAATCGGCTGAGCGGCCATTTTGATGATGTCACTGTCCGTGACGTAATTATTTTAAAGCTTGCCTCCCGGCTGATTTTCACTCTTTTCGATGTATTTAGTCGATTCCCAAAGTATGGTGCTGGTCTCCGGAAGTGAAAGATTACTATGTAATATGTTGCTTGTTCCACGCACTATCAATACCTATACAAAATGAAGTTATTAAATCAAGTTAAGTTATAAAGTTATAAAGAAGAATGGTAATTCAACTTTTATTTATATAAATGTTTTCTTTTTTCTTCGATCCATAATCTAGCATACAACATTCTGAACAAAAGTATTCTGGCTTCTCAATTAAACATAAGTTAAAACCCTAGTTTAAACGAATTTAATACCGGATATTAATTGAGTTTCTTTACCTCAGTTTTCGGTACATTGTGTTGTATTGTCAATGTAGTTGAGCTAGAGTGGCAGAAGCCGAGCTCACCTGACTTAAACAGACTGTACATGTACAATGATTGACAATAGCGTCCACTTTTAAGTTGGAATCTATGTATGATAATCACCACTGTAAACAAACAACCACTTTGATTATGTTTATATATTACTGTGTTTTATTTATCACCCCATTCTACATGGGGCTTTATAATTAGAAGTGCTACATATAGCTATTGCTTCAGGACAATAGAGTGTCAAATCACTTACTAGGCGTGACCACTATCTTCTATTATATGCGGATTTTTATGTTGTTTCACCCATTAATATCAAGTTTATATTTACTCAAAACCGTATGTAACATAACATACAAATGGATGTAGACATAATAAAATTTTGTTTGAACAATAACGTATATGTTTTTGTTAATTAATCATCGTATATTTTACTCTCATTTTTAACATTATTTTAAAAACATTATCTTATATCTTTTATTAAGAATGAGTTATCTATTTTTAACCTATTTGTAAACGTGAATCTGTTATAAAAATCAAGTTAATGCAATTTAAGAGCAATTTGGGTAATTCTTTTAGAGTGCATACTTCTTTAGTAATTAGTATTCATGTTATTCATAGACAGAGTTGCTTTGGCTTTAAGGGATGAAGGTCATAAAAGTGACTGATGACGACTAATTTCTCTTCTCCCTTGAATTCTCCCACCTCCTGGCCATTTCCCTCCATTCCTGAGTTTCCATTTCCAATTCCCTTTTGTTCAACTCGGAAATCGCATCCAGTTCCATTCCTACGTTATTTACTTACTTGCAAAATCTGTTGTCAACGGAGAATTCAATAAGAAACGTAATACACTTTTTAGGTTTTTAGTTTTGTCGGTTTTATTGATGTCAGTGAGGATTCATTACTTCTTTATGAATCAGAATAATATTTTCTGGGTCTTGTACTTTTTTTTATTAAAATATCGTATTCAAAACTATTTTTTTATGACCCAAAACATGGCCTTGTCATTGTTTGTTGGGTTTTCAAATATTCTTTTATGAAATGAGAAATATTCGTATTGTATGAAAGAATAAGATTATGTATATTAAAATGTATTTTACACAATTTACCTTATATCCAAATAATAATCATTTATTTAATGTCTTAAATTATCTATTAAAATTAATTTTCAAAGATATTTAGTAATTTAACCAATAAAAATAATATTAATCAGCATATTAGCATATTATGTACAAATCCATGTGTTATATTTTTATTTGATTCTAGAATTATGTTAGCGGTTAGTTCATTAATTCCTAATACAACAAATAAATACATGTTGTTTTCCATGTTGTTGTGTTGTTGTTGTGTTTTGTCCATGTTGATGTGTTTTACATGTTGTTATACTTCTCTAATTTTACCAGGCTTTGACACATATTGATATTAGTTTGAAACCTATTTTGACCATTTATTATTTTTTTAGGCTATAAGTATATTCAACAACCGCAACATATGTTAAAACCCCTGAATTAGTCGGGAGCTTCAAATTAACATAAATCATATTGTGTAAAAAATTAAAATTAAATTAAATAATATATTTGAATTTTTATTTAATCAAAGCTAAGCCTCACAAGATGGTTCAGTAGTGTGGTAGTGTTCAGTCCCTGAGGTGGGTCGGCCCACGCAGCGCTGTTCATTGTTACGAGGGAAGTTAGTTGTATTATTGTCAACCCTGCCTCTTTATAACAGGACGACAATTTCCGAGGGAAACCTTGCCGCGTTTTCTAAACACGGTCGGCTGGTTCGAAATGTTCTTTTTTAATCAAAAAGGTAGCATTAACTTCATAATATAAATTATCTGACCCAAATGTCTCAAATAAATATGTGGACTTCAAATCATCAAAATTAATAGATACGTTTTTATGCTTTACTTATACATAAATGATTTATCATATTTATTATTTATAAGTAAATTTTCCATTAATGTTTTAGACAGTGACCAATTCCGAAATTTCAAATAAAAATATCGTTACATATCAAATTTTTTAGGAATGTGTATTTTTTGCTATACTGTATTCGTACACAAATAAAATAACGTGAGAATGTATTATGTATGTGTGTGATTATGTATTATGTATTACGTGTGTGTGTATTATCTTTGACTATCAATACATCATTCTAGCGTAACTGAATCATCGACTGTTGTCATCTTTGCTGAACAATATTGCATTTCGAATTTACTATGTTAGTTAATAAGTTTTGAACGTGTATAAAAATTATATTGTTAAAAATAACTACGAACGTTGAGGAAAGACATTCTATCAGAAATGTGAAGTTGTAATATCAGCAGAATATTAAAAATAATGTTTTTTTTTTAGTATACCTTGAACACTTATAGTGGAACCTCTATGGCAAGTCATCCTTGATAACAAAAGCCATACTCAAACACCTTATACACACACACACACAAACACCCTTAACCCCAAGTAGCTTATAGCAAGTAACTGTTATTGTAAACATAGATAAGAATGTGTGTAGCTCAGTTGGCAGCGTACGGACTTTGGGCCCAAGGCAGCGA